TTATAATTTGAAATTAATGAAAAATAAATGTTGGAAGAAAGTCCAGAGGGAAAAACATGAATATTTTAAAGATGCAGAATATTATATTATCTTCAAAAATGCGATGGAATCTTTTTTATTTTTTTTTATTTTTCATGGATCCTCTCTGTTATGCATAAAAAGAAAATTAGAGTGAAAAAAATATGAGAACCCCTTTTTTCGTTCTAAAAATGAACTAATAATGCATATCTCATTTAAATAATATTAATTTTGTATTTAAAGCTCATTACATTGAATTTAATATCAAATATTTATAGATACAATGAAATTATCTCGTCCTGAAATCATTAATTTTGAAATATTAATTTTGTTCAATTTATGCAACGAATGATAATTTAACAATGTAACTTTATTTTCCCTATTTATAGAAATAAACAGATAATTCTTGATTTCTTTTTCAGTTAAGTTTAAACTTAAATTTTTTTATTCCCTAATCAAAATCTAAATTGTGATATAATTGTTTTATATCTATCTATTTTATATTTCAGTTATATTCCAAAATAAAAATTTTATCAAAAAATTTATTTGAAATCAAAAGATAAGTGATCGAAAGTTTTAGATATCAACGTGAATTTTTTTAATCCTCTACACAAAAGACTTAAAAGAAATCGATTCTCGTGAAAAGAATCATCATCAAATACGCAACGATTAATTAATCTGGAAATCAAGCTTTAACATCCAATACTAACATTTTGTTTCCAATTTAATATTTACATTATTCATGTAAAAATTTAAATTTTAAAAATAGTATTTGTCAGGTGTCTCAGCTTCGTGTTCGTGACATTCGCAAGAAGAACAGAGAGGATCCTGCGTCCAATGTGAATTATTGATCCGTAAAGAACGTAAGACATATATCTACGTTAAATGACTATAAATCGTGACCTCGACGTTAATAACGTAAGAAGATTACTTTCGTGAACTTTATATGTTTTATATATATATATATATATAACCATTGAAAGAGTTGAGTGATATTGGATGATATTCGTGTAAATCATCATCGCTTAATTTATCCGATTTGATAACGATCGAAATCGTTATCAGAGAAAGAAATGTAATATCTGTCTGATAATGTTCGAGTTCAATGGATCATACATCGATTTTTTAATATAATTTTCGATATACAGAATTTCTTTTGCTCGATATTTATTATACTCAAAAATTGATTTGGAAAAAAATGACACGTGTAGATGATTGAATACTTTCTTTAATCAGAATATTTAATGTATTGTGTTCAAGAAAACATGTAAAGAAAAATTGTACGATCAAGGATAAAATAGTACATCATTTGGAAACGGAAATAACATCAATTCATTCGAAATAACAGGAATTTCAAATACTGAATTATTATTTTCTGATTTTAAATCTGACGAAAGAAAAAAATAACTTCAAGTAAAAATCGTTATATATTTTATCTTATAAACAGTAAAAGAAGAAAAGTAGATAATAACGTTGTTTCTATGTAGAAGAACTATTCTATTCTCTTCTAGAATCATAATACTAAATCAATAATGGCATTATTTGAAATAATATTTCAAATTAGCTGAAAAATAATGATGTTAAATAAACAAGATTATATAATATTTCGAATAATAAAATAACATTTTATTCACATGAAAACAATCGCATTATTTCCCACAAAGATACAAAGATCACTTTCACGATCTTGTCATCTCGCCCGTCAAAAATTTATCTGCATATCCGTTTCTTAAATTACGAAGGTAAACGAACGCTTAACGCGATCAATCTAAATGCAATTATGTCCCCCACTGACGCCAGATTTAGAAAGGATAATGCCACCGGTTGAAAAAGGATAGCAGGTGAGGTGGTGCTGTAAGGATCAATACGCCATCCTCTCTCCAGAGAGAGAGAGGTTCACGTGTTGCTCCCGTTTCCGGTGCCACCTGGCGAACTAAAAAGGATCGATGTGCATTTCCTGCGACCACTGGTAATTACCAATCTACACGGCCATTATGAGATGAATAATAAGAGGAATTTATGAACCATTATATCATTCCACTTCACGTCAAGTTCAAGCATCTTATCTGATATTATTCATTTTTCAAAATACTTCAAATTAGAAATACCTTTATACATCTTTTTTTCATATTTATACTTCATAGATTAATAAATCTAAAAAAATTACTTATCTTAAGGAATATACAAAAAAAGTATATATCTTATCTAATATTTCTTCATTCTAGTATTGTAGTATATTTTATAATATTCCAAATTTCATAGATCTTTTCTTTTTTTTTTCAGTGATATTAGAAAACGTGAATAACCAATAGGAATTTCATAATGATATGTATAGAAATTACTTATTACCAAGAAGAACAAAACGATGAAACTTCTTAGATCCTTCAAAATTCTACGTATAATATTATAATTAAAAAAGAGATAAGTTTTACGAAAAAATAATGCTTTCATTTCTACAATAAAGATCTTCTTTTATCTATAAAGCCAAAGACTCGTTACAAGACGTTTAAGAAGAGTAATTTATTCGGCCAACTGTCGATTAAGAAAATTAGATTAGACGTTCCTTTCGTTAAAACGATGGCGGTGTTATACACGACAAGGAGGAAATTTAGCGGTGCTTACTTTTAAGAAACCACGTCTCCTTAAAATGAGACTTTTCGTCCCGGTTTTTTCATCCGAAATCCAACCCTTCCGGCCAAGGGAAAGAAAACTGCACTCTCGAATAATTCACACGAACACCCCGCCTCAAGAGTCCTCGTTTTCCTCGGATAACCTTTGAATCGTTCATTCCGTCTGCGCTTTTGTAGAAATCGATATTTTAAGAGCGGATACTTCGAATAATTCAGAGAGCAGAGTGAAAAAGAGATGGAGGAAAAGTAGAGAGGACGATTCGAATATAGAAAAGGAATGATAAAGAGTGATGTAATTAGAGATTTTAATAAGGCATTGGACATGGAAGAAAAGGGAAAATATATAAGTCCTGAAATACTTGAAATAATTATATTTTTCTTTTCCCGTGTATCATTGTGATGTCTTGACACAGGAAATTCATGGAGCTCGAATAAGAAAATTGGATAAATAAAAAGGATCATAACTTTTGGGATAGATAATATTTGTTGGATCGAAAAGGAGTCGAAAAATGAATATTTTCAATGTTATATAAGATGTTTCTGTATTGGAAAATTTTTCGTATTAGAAAAAATTTCGAATGAAAATCATAAATCAATCATCGAAAGCAAAAATCATAACGACAATAATAATCCTAGCATAAATACATTAATAAAGATATAATTTTATTTCAGAAATAAGATTATAAATCTTAATGATAGATAAGATTATTAAGAGAATTACTCACGATATATTATATCGATCATTCTCATTATAAGTTTTAATTATAAATTGCAAAATATCCATAAGATAAATAGTACATATATAGATAGTATGATCGTATATTGATCGTATATAATCTTTATTTTTATTAAAATAAAGATTATATGTTTAAAAGATCAGGAAAAAACAGTACGTATTTATGTGTTTTTCATGCAGAATTTCTATTTGTACACGTGGAAATTATCTCTTTTAAATCTTTGTGTTTGAAAAGGAGTTAAAAATGATGTTTACCGATAAATAATATAAATATGAATAATATAATATGTGATGATATTATAGAAATTAAATTTTGTTGTAAAATATTTGAGATTTGTTTAAATATCACTAACATTTCTGTATGGAATCGTTTCATACTTTTCCACTGATATTTAGGAATTTTATTTAAACGTATATTATTTAAAATCTAATTTCTATTTAAGTTTCTATTCTTTTTTTAATTTTAAACTTTAAGAACTTTTGTAAATATCCGAATGTTATTATTTTCAATTAATAAGATAAATATTCAATTCAAATTTAAATTAAATTTTTAGATAATAATGACTCTAATATGTTACATGCAAAATTCTTTTTTTTTTTGCATGTACCTAATATATATTTTTAATATCTTATAATATATACATCTAAAAATGTATTATATAAGATATTATATAAAATATAGATAGTACAAAAAATTAGAAAAAAAAAAAAAATTTCTAAAAAGCATAAAAACAAGCATTAAATTTTAATAATATTTTTATATTAGGATGCCGAGACAATCATGATAATACAAATCTATATTGCAATATTAATTTAAGCAATATTGTTTTATACATAGCTTTATATATTATAAAATAAATTAATTCCTTATTAAAATATATCAATTAAACACGATATAGTAATTACTATTTCAAAAAATTGTCTTTCATCGTCGATATTTATTTATCAAAATCGTCGATAAATACTTATCAAAATTCCCAAAGATTAATTTAAGAAAAGTCCAAAGTACGTTATTTGAAATCACATATTCTTCTCTGTGTATATAGCACAAATCATGCAAATGTATATTATTTAATTTATTTAATTATTGAATATTAAATTTCATTCCCCGATATCTATTCGAAAAATATTATTGAATGCAAATAATAAATTATTTTATGTTAATATAACTATCATTTAATTGCTAACTAATTAACTAAAAATTTCTTTTAACCAGGGATGAGAAATTATAACAAATCATAATAAATTTGAGTGATTCAACATTAATCATCAGCTCCCTTTACTTTAAAAAACAAATAGCTTCACAAACAAATGAAATTATTAATTATAATTCGTATAATAATCGCGTATAATAAAAAATAAGAAATTAATAATAATCGTGATATTGCAAATAATTCCTATTAATCTTGATTGAAACAAACATGAAATGAATCTGTGAATGTTATCAACAAATATCTATATTATTTGAAAATAATTAATTACGCAATATTGATATTTAACAGAAATGTGTTATCTAATCTTAACTTAAAATAAATGTTATATATTGTATTGAACGAGACTATAAATCTATCTTCCCTGATATTTCGATTCAGTTGGTTAATGTACAAGAATCAAACATGATCGGAAAAATTTTGATTATTTGTACATTAATTACATTAATTAACGGTAAGAATTTTAAAAAAAAAAAGAAAGGTTAAAAAGAAAGATTAATGATAAGATTTAATCGTATAATATCGATCAATTTTTTTATTATTCTTCTGTCAATTCGTTATTAATTATCGATTTTTTTTTTCATTTTTCGTTGTTAGAGATCAATTAGTTATTAAAAATTGATAAAATTCGATTTAAATATAAAAAATTATACTAAAATTCTTAAACATTCCAAATCTCATACAAAATCTAGTATTAGCAGTCTATATATATATATATACATCCTGCATAATTAGATTTGTGTTAATGATTTAAATTAAATTATTGATTTTTAAATTGAATTGAATTATGATTAAAATTTATTTCTTATTTTTTTCATAATAAAACAACAAAGTTTTATATTATTTCATTTTATTTTATTTCTGTAATTTACTTAATTAACATTAAACTTTGTCAAGAGTCGTAATGAAGTGGAAACAATACGAAATTTTCCAAAATCGAAAATTGAAGAGTACTTTTTGTACATATTCGCGCGATTTATTAAGCCAATAAGCAGAGCAATCAAGTGACGAATAATGTTTCATTCTCAATTACTAGAAATTATTGTGTGCTATTATTATTTGTATAACAGCTTTTTTTTTTTAGCTTGGAATTATAATCCAAAAATTATAAATGGGGAGGATGCCAAAGAAGGAGAGATACCCTATCAAGTAAGTTATTTCATAATAGATATTACAAAAAAAGAAAAGTAAACTTGAAATCAAGAAGAGAAAGATTGCAAATGATATTTGTCAAAAAAAGAAAAGCACGAATCTATCATCTATCTTCTTGAATTACTAGAATAATTTTTTTCATTTTTAGGTATCACTTCAGAAGAAATTTAGCTCTTTCCATTTTTGCGGTGGATCTATTCTTAATGAAAATTATGTAATTACGGCTGCTCATTGCATACAGGAGTAAGTCAATAAAAGATATTTTCTTCAAAACTATTTTCTAGAAATCGATATATCACACCTTATTCTAAAAAAACAATTTTTTATTTATTTATTTATCCTCAAAATGTAGAGAAATTTAACTTGACGTGTAACAATTCATTATTAATGATTTTATTAAAAAACATGTACAATTTATGGATTATGAATTTATGATTGATATTATATATTAAAGTTCTGAAAATTGAAAATACAGAAATATTTTAAAATTTCTGAACGATAGTGTGATTTCACAAAAACGAAGTTAAAAATAAGTATATACTGATCAATACTTTTTTATACTTCGTCCAATAATAGATAATGAATCAATCATATAGCATATCTGTCACAACGATATAAATCAAATATACTTTCTAAATAATTGATCTAGAAAAAACTATAATTGCTTACACTTTTTATTGATAAAATTCGTCAACTTTCAACTTGGAAAGTTCAATGTATTGTTGTTAAGTATTCTTATTTATATTAACGATTTAAACAATTCAAAATTCAATTTTCCCTGAAAGCCTAATTTTTTTACAATATTTTATTTACAATTACCTAATTTATTTACAATTTTTTTATAAATTTAAGGTATGCACTTTTCTTTTGATTATCATTTTTCATTGTTTGCTCCAGATGATCATTTTTATCAAAAGATGCAAGGAGATTTTTTTATAAATTATCAAGTTTGCAATTATCAAAATTATCAGAATCTCATAAAGAATTGAGAAAATAGAAAAAAATCAACACTATTTTAATATTTTAGTATTTTAATTTCTTTCTCATTTTTTTTTCCTTTTATTTATTTATTTTTTTTTTTTATATATATATATAGTAAATCTGCAGAAGATATCAAGGTCATATCTGGCACGATCAATTTAGCCATTCCAAGATACGAGAATGATGTCCATAAAATCTTTATTCACGAAAAATATAATTCTTCGGATTCGTGGAAGAACGACATAGCATTGCTCAAGGTACTTAAATACAGATTTTTTTCAAGTTAATGATTAATAATTGACACCACGAGACAAATTCTATTATTATGCTTTATTTGTTACAGGTTAAGACACCATTTGTGCAATCGAAGTTAATTTCCTTCGTCCCTCTTCCATCACCAAACGATACCATTAAGACAAATGATTTGGCAATTGTTTCTGGCTGGGGCAGACTCAGTGTAAATAAAATTTATTTATTAAAATTATTTTATAACGAAATTATAAAATATCATTGTTTCATTTCAATTCTATTTTTATTTTTATAATTGAAATGTAACAATATAAATGTAATATTGAACTTTTGTAATATTATACATAATATTACAGGATATTTTTGAATTTTTTGTATGAATTGTGTAATTGCAGCAAGGAGGACCATCAACTATTTACTTGCAACGAGCAGACATCCTGATTGCAAATCAAGAATATTGTGAATTAATGTATAATAAAGTGAATTACAATATTTACAACACTCAAATTTGTGCATACAATCCAACTAGTGAAAAAGGATCATGTAATGTAAGTTATATTTAATATAATTTTAATAATTTTACTTTCTAATGCTTTTTGAGGCTTTTTACTCTAATTAATTCATTTTAACTATTTCATTGTTATAATTCTAATCATGAAAAGAGAGAGAGAGAGAGAGAGAGAGAGAAGAAGAAAGAGATAATTACTTTTTTTTATTAAGTTTTCATAAAGTGAATTTTCAATGTTTAGATTGCAATTCTATTCAATCCTTTATTATTAATCTGTCTTAACAATTTTATGTTATTTAATTCATTTCTTTTACTTGTTATAATTTCTTTTTATTTATTTATCATTATTATTGAAATATATATAAAATAAATGGAATTAAAAATAAAATGCTTTTCTCCAATTTGAAAAGTTTTGCAATATCACTAGAATAAAATATCATAGAATCACTAGAATTTTACAAAAATTGAATTTATATTTTTCTTTTTATGTAGGGTGATTCTGGTGGCCCCTTAGTCGTCGATGGAAAACTCATTGGTCTCGTTTCATGGGCAATGGGCTGTGCCCTCACTGATTATCCAACTGTCTATACCCGTGTTGTATCATATCTTGATTGGATAAAAGCAAATGCTGTATAAATTTTATAGTTAACTTATAAAATTAACATGATTATTAATTTTGCACTCCAGACCTGTTTCGGTCGGTCGAACTAGCAATTCCAGACCCGCGCGTTAGATACGTTCGGTGGCCTCATAAGATTATCATAAGATAATTACTCATAAGATAAAATTACACCTCATAAGATTATATGTAAAGAGCTTAGAAACCTATTTATGAAGCGATATTCTAAAAAAATCAAAGATAAATAAATATTGTCGCCGTTCAAATTGCCGCAACAATCCCAGTACCGAAGATCACTGGAGTTATGGCATTAACTCAAGTGATACCGTTGGAGAGCAAAGGGTTAAT